AAAAACAAAATTGGTGGCATGGGAGGAGGTGTGTTAAGCAGTTGTGCCCCTTCCCAGCCTAGCTCAATAAAGGAAAGCTGAAATCCTTTCACCAAAAAAGAAAAATAGTAACTCTAAAAATTTCCCCTACTTGTATATTTAGGTTTCATCCTTGCCCTTAAAAAGAGCTCCTAGGAAATGGAACTGTTGGGAAATAAAACTCAAGTTCCTAAGTCGGAAATATTCATTAGGAAAACCATGTTTCTTCAGGGCAGAATTAGACTATTCAGCTTCCAACAGCAACACAAAACACTTCTACCCACCCGGCCACTTCATTATTCAAGTCTATGCCTCTAAGAATGTTCTTGTCTTGTGTGTGAGTGACCCCTTCAGGTGCTATTTTGAAAAACTACTCTGTATACCAAGAAGGAAGAGTCTCCTGGTGAACGCTAAGAATTTATGGAAAAACTGTTCAACCATTTTTGAAATTCATTCAAAAATTACAGGAGAATAATTCTATTTTTCTGATAAAACATTTTAACCAATGCATTCTGTAATCCATTCATAAACAGTCACCAACAAAGTTTTTGAATGCCACATGCCGAAAGCTATGCTGCCAATAAGACAAACACAAGAGTCAAGATACAAAGTCAGGTTCCATTTCCGATAACCTGTACACTGACCCCACAGCTGCAGAGGAATTCATCAAACCCTATATCCGGGTCATGCACAGAAGATATTTATGCCATAATAACAAGGGGTATAATAATGCAAAATTACTGCTCTTTTTGGAGTTCACTGATCACAGTCTTCACAATCCATAAGCTGCCTTTGCTCACAACACATAATAATTTCATAACCTTCAGAGTCTCAGATAAAATATTTGAAGTCACCAGAACACAGTGCTGGCAAGTAAGAACTGAAAGTCAATAAGCCTGACTCTGTGAAAAGTGAGATGTAATTAACAGTCACGTTTTTAAATTACACTCAACTGGAAAAAGAAACCAAAATTAGAACAAGGCATTTCTCCTTTGCCCAATTAATAGGAGTTGAAGCTGCAGCTGCACTGTGTAGTAGAGATTTCTCAGATGATAGATCTGTCCCACAGACATGGCCTATGGTGGTGGCCACCAGCCACAGGTATCCACTGAGCATTCGAAACATGATTAGTGAACTAACAAAATTTTACAGTTCACTTAAATGTAGTCACACATTTGGTGGTGTCTGTTTTTAATATCACACTGGAAAGTTGCCAGTATCAAGAGCAGCTGGAGTAACGATGGCATTCACAGCCTTCTGGTCCCAGTAAAAAATGACAGATTTCAAAGGGCTGTAGGAGGAAATTTCCATAATTTTTCTTAATATTAGTATTTCAGTATTTTCTCATCTAGCAATTCCATTATAGAATTTTTCTTATGAAATACTATTGTACTATAAAAGATATCTATTCAAGTTAAAATGCTATATTGGGCCGGGCGGTGGTGGCGCATGCCTTTAATCCCAGCACTCGGGAGGCAGAGCCAAGCGGATATCTGCGAGTTCGAGGCCAGCCTGGGCTACCAAGTGAGTCCCAGGAAAGGCGCAAAGCTACACAGAGAAACCCTGTCTCGGAAAAAAAAAAAAAAAAAAAAAAAAAAAAAAAATGCTATATTGACCGTCAATACAAAATAGACTCAATTCCTGTACATTTAGGCCATGTAGCACTGTAGCTTTAAAAGGATAGGGCTAATGAATATGTTCTAAAATGAAAGATGTCTATAATCTGTGGTTAAATGAAGACTCAAATTCATCAACATACCATATATCTTGTGACTATTAATTGAAGTATTTATATTAACAGAATATGAAATAATTTAGCATTTGCATAATGTTTGGTAGGTTAAGTAACACTTATAGAAATTTAGACAATAAAGCAAGAAGTTTTAGTAATTCCAAATGTTGTCATCATTTATGGAGATTTATTAAAATTTGAAAATGGAAATCACACTATAACACTACCTTTCCATTTGTTTCAATTAAAACGATACCACAGGTATCTTCCCACACCAATAAAAAGGTATCAGCTGAAATTGTTTCAGTGTTCCATTATGTTTGCTACAATAGTGTACTTAGCCTTGAACTCATGGACACCTAGTTTGTTTTCCAATTGTCCACTATTAATATACACACTGAGATAGCTGCTCCTTAAGTTCAGTCTCTGCAGTATGTTATTAATGGCTTGATAACACTAGGCTAAATCCTTGCGAGTCATAAAAGCTTACTGATAGCAATAACTAAACTCTTTTTAAAGCAAGACTAACCAGTGAATTATTATTTGCTATCATTCCTACTAATACAAAAATTATATTGCCTATGAGTAAACGCTATTAAGATGTTCTAGATACTGCTTTCAGGCATTCATTCAGCTATCTCAATGAGTCTCCTCCATTAATCTTAAGGAAGAATTCAAAACAGTGTTTACAATGGAAATGATTTATTTTCTGATGATTAATTCCCATCTTTCTTCCCCCCTTGTTTCATGACTTTTTCAAGAAAAAAAATCATTTTTGGTACAAATCTGACTAAAAAACATGCTGAGTTCATAGCATCACTTTAGTGGGTTTCTGGACATAGAAAGGAAGCCACTCCTCACAGGAGAAAGCATAAGGTACTTTGCAGACAGCAAGTGTCAGAATTAATCTTAGGATCCAGCATGGACACAGGTCTGGAGGATAATGAAAAGAGAAGAGAGATCCTTAAGGGTCAGGAATTTCCTTGAAGGCAGGAGGATCAAAATTCCTTATAATCTGTGTTAAGCTTTGCACTTCAGGCATCTCCATGATGGCACAGACCTGTGATGATGCAGACCTGTGATGATGCAGACCCGTGATGATGCAGACCCGTGATGATGCAGACCCGTGATGATGCAGACCTGTGATGATGCAGACCCGTGATGGCGCAGATCCGTGATTCAGGAATAGTCCTGATAGCCCCATTTGGCTAAAGAATTCCACTCTCTGTAGTGAGGCAGCAGCCTCATGAGCACTCACACTTTATGGATTATGTTATCATATTAAGGTAAGTGTTAGATAACAGTGTACACACTACTTTATTCTATAGGTTCAATTGTGTTTTAACTCATCCATGCCATAAGCCGAAAGAAACCCCCATGTAGAAATAACTTTTCCTTAAGTATCTAAAATGGAAAAGTTGTATATTTTTTTCAGATCAAAAGCATGTTTGAAGAAGAAGAAGAAGAAGAAGAAGAAGAAGAAGAAGAAGAAGAAGAAGAAGAAGAAGAAGAAGAAGAAGAAGAAGAAGAAGAAG